TACATGCCATTGAGAGCGATTGGCATGTACTGCAAACGCATAACGCTAACGCAATCGTGCCAATGGAAACAACCGTGTACATTTCACTGTGATCTATTTTTGGCGCTAGCACTAACGCGTGAATGGAATCCCAGCTTCAGGCATGTGCATTACATGCCAATCGCTCCCTGTAGCGATTTAAAACGCAAACGCGCTGTAAATGCGTGAATGGAATCCTAGCTTTTTACTAGAAGCGTTTAGCGGTACACAGTTGGTAACATTTGATAAAAGCGTTTAGCTGTGCACAGTTGGTAACATTTGATAACTATTTTTGTTGGTCTCAATGATGGGATGGCAACACGCCATATATATTGTTATTACAGTATTACTATGATAATTTATGGAAACCAACAGAGGACGTCTGTGTGTGTTTTTGCAGAGTGCAATAGTTATTTAATGTACATAGCAGTGACTGACAGATGACATAGAATAAAATATTTTCTTTTTTTTCATGAAAGGCCAATCAAATCGCAGTCTAAATAACTGCTTTATACAACGTCTACTCTTGACAAATTATACAATGTATTTTAAGGTAAATAAATATCCAGAAACTGTAAATCAACTAAACTACAACAAATGAAAAGTGGAACATGTCTTCCCAACAATTTTTGTTAGCCAAGTCAGTGAGACCTTGGTAATCTAGTATTTTGTATTAAGAATTTATCCAAAAGCTGGCACATTCTTGAAACATTTCCAATAATTGTAATATACTGCAAAATGCCAAAACTTGTAACACCTGGCAGTACAGTGGTTCGTGTTCATGAGCTTGTAACAACAAGTTTTCCCCTCGCAATGGCCTCCTATGAGACCACTGCTACAATGATAATTCAGTGACAAAACACAAGCATAGTTCCCAAACAATAATATATATATATATATATATATCATATATATATATATATATATATATATATATATATATATATATTTTTTTTTTTTTAAACGTCAGGCACGCATTCTTGGCTTCAGTGCCAACCATGTTGGATTATCAAAGTTCCACTATATACTGTACTGTGATTTCAGATATAACCAGTTAATGAGTGCACAACCAGTATATTACTAATACATAAATATAAAGTTTGTTCTAAATCGTCACCATTTTATGCATCATGTTACTGTACAGTTGGGGCACCTACCATTCAGCCACTACACCTATGATGTTCCTACTTGACTAAATAATTCTAAATGCTGTTATTTAATAAATCTGTGAACATTAGAGACCTTGGTAAGATTTCACTTTAAAAATCAGTGTTCCGCGAGAGTGTGATACTGCACATTAAAAGTGATATTCATTGAAAACTTATAACCAAAAAGACAGAATTTCAAAGATATTTTCTTTGCCCCTCCAAAAAGATAACAGGTTTTGAATGCTGTATTTAAAATTTAAAAAATTCAGTTTGAAATTGTCAGTTTCATTACTTGCTGTATGCCAAGAATATAAGACCATAATTCCCCCTATTTCTGGTCATTATTATTTCTAGTTGAAATTTTTGTTCATAGCAGCCCCATCGTTTATTGTTAGAGGTCTATACCAAAAGTGACCTGATACACAGCCTCCTCCTCACGTCGAACTGTAGCCAAAATCTTCTTACGGAAACCAGTGTTTTCTGTTCTTTTTGTATCCTCTGCTTCCACCAGGCAGGTGAGGCCATCTAGACCATAGGTGACACGCCCCAAACGGAGAGCCGGAATATCCCCAACATCACGTACAGCCACACACAGGACGGGATATCCATTTGAGTCTTGGTCTACCACCACGTCCCCTCGCTTGACTCCACCTTTAGCCGCAGGAAGCCCAAGCCCTCCGTCCACCACCTTCACATCACGGAAGCTCACTTTCACTACTTTTTGAAAAGATGTTCCAGAAGTGCTGCTTGGCATATAAGATGCTATTAGACGTGTCTTGCATCTACCTCCCATCATCATTTGCTTTTCTACCAAGGTGAATGAGTCTTCTGCGGGAGCATAGCCGACTTTACGCAAACTTGCAGGAGACTTGGTGGCATTGCGGAGACGGTTTTTAAGATAATCCTGTGAATGTTCCTTAGCTGGAACCACGATCAGTGTCACATCCAGGTCATTGTGGTCGCTTATCTGTATAAAGTACCTGTAAAGTATAGAATGAGCAGTATAAAAAAAAATGAAACACAGCTAATTGATAGCAAATGGGAATAACATATCCAAATTGCACAAACAAATGTGAAAGTATATGTATTCTTGTGTGAAATACATCTGGGAATTCAGATAAGAAAGTGTCATAAAAGAATCTCTTCTGTTTAAACTTAATATGTTAGTATAGTATTTTATTAGTATCTACAGCGATGATAACCAGCATGGTTACACTACTTGGCACTAGTGGTAGGGAGGCAGGAATATATTTTAAATTCCATGATTCTAACAACTGCAATGAAACAATAAACAACTGCAGCAATCTACAGTGAAATTTCTATTTAACGGATTACATGGAGAGAGAAGTCCGTTATATGGAGGTTTCACGTGCACCAAATATGAACATTATGGCTGAAACCACCACATACACTGGGAATTTTGACATAAATGCGGCGCAATCTTTTACAGTGATATTATTAGGACCAAAGCACATTCTCTACTTCACATATCCCACCAGTGGAGGCACGTGAGCTGTATTAATGGGGTAGGAGATGATTACTAACTATGTGCAGTGCGAGAGGTCATATATTTTTTGTTTTATTTTTTTATCCTTTTCACCACTGAACGGCTCGATAGCAGCTTGGGCGATCGGTCACGACTCTGAACTGTCAAACTAAAAAGATCTAGACCATAAAACACTTTTAAATGATGAACCTAAGGTTAAAAAGGACTTGATAAATAGTGTATAGAAAGCCATTAGATCTTAATGACACAGGCTTAAGTCAAACAGGAAGTGCCATGTCTCACCATCACCAATTCAGCAAGAGAAGGCGTCACCTATCAGCCAATCAAAATCACGTTTCCAAAGCGTGACGTCACAAGTCCGCGATTTTACCATGATGTAAGCCCATATAAAGTCCTTTCCACCTGCTCCTCGAGTCCCCCAATCTCTATCAACCATCTCCAACTTTACTGTCTTTCTTCTAAGCTGCTCGAATATTCTGACCTTTACATCCTTTACAATCAGAAACTCGACTCTCTCCCATCTCCACCTACACCACTCCATTCCAAACTCTGACATAAAAGCTCAGAGATCTACAGTATTCCACACTTTCTACTTATAAAACTCAACGGCAATACCCCCATTCTTCCATGCTCTGAATACTTTGATAATCTCAAGATCAAAGATTCAAAACTTCCTCTTCACCTCGCTCCATCCATCTTTGACTTAAGAGCTCAAAGACTGTACATTCGCGTTTCACCAAACAACCTGGCCACCAAACTACTTTTTCGTTTTCCATATTTTTATGGTGGTGGGTGGTCTGGCAGCAGGAACGTGGCGGTTTTTATGCCCGGGGCCGTTCGTGGCGGTGGCGGGCTTCCAAAAGAGAACCCACCTCCTCGCCCGTCCCCCCCCCCCTCTGTTGCCGTGGCCGGACGGGGTGCTGATAAATGCTGCTGACAATCATATCACCATCTGTCAAGCCATGTTAAGCCACGGCACCTTTCTCTATTACTGCAATTCATTTCTATCCACTGAACTTTCTTCACTCTTGTGATTTTTTGACTGGTTGATTGATTGATTGCTTCTCGAGCACTCCTCCGTCACCTGCACTCCCCCAGAGTTACTCTCTGCTCTCTTCCTCCTCCCACTATCAACACCCTGTTTGTGGAACTCCTCGGCCTTCTCCAGTGCATTTTGTATTTGCCTTATAGCTGCTCTTTGTTGAGGTGTTTAAGGTACGCCACTAGTTTGGTAACCCTTCTTTGGGCATTTTTATTCAAGTTTCAGTCTTTGGCAGATCTTCGAAACCAATCAATATTACAGTAATCCAAGTGAGGTAGTACTACACCTATTAAGAGACTGGCCATCTAGGTATGTGTAGGATCTTCGTATCAACCCAGCTACATCACAATAATCCAACACCTTCGGATTATTATAAACACATACCCAGACTTCTCTCATCTAATAGTAACTCAACAGGCATATTTTGACCGTATAATTAGTCTACTTAATTTATATTTAGGGTGCATTAAAATGTGTGCAGTGCTTCACCTGATGTCCGGGTTGAGGATGATGTAAGGGATAAGGTCAGAGAGAACAACATGACGAGCATTGCGAGGGAAGACTAAGTCAGTAGCCCCTCCACACGACATACCACTGCCAGGTGTTGGGCTTTTGCTCTACAAAACAAGAAACTTATTAGTGTGGGAATACTAGTTATAACTATAAAATCACAGTTGTATTATCTCATAACTTCCTTAATCGAAATGCAAGATTTCATTCAACGCTGTAATTTTGATGTAACTCAGACATCCCTAGAATTAACCAGCTTAAAATGTTTATTTATCCGTCAACTGAAACTTTTCTAGCCTCTGACTCCTCGATATTTCAGAGTGAATATAATGTAAAAGTACTTATTTTTTGTCATTCCTAAAGATGTTTTACATACCTTTATCTCTCTAAACTGCTTTCATGTCTTCCTGCAACGTCACCTAACCTTTGCCATCCAACATTTTTTAAGCTGAATTATTGTTATTTATGTATCATGTATGATGTAACACCTCCCCTTCATAAAGACAAGGTCACCTTGGTAAACTCAGAAGTCTGTCAGTTTGGTGCAGGGCCAAGTCAAGTAGAGCAGCATACTGGTATCCTAACTAATGAGTCAGTAATATTCTTATTCATAAATTATCTAATGCGAATCATTCTAATTCATGTTTTCTAAAAGTGTCACCCTTTTTAATAGTCCCTTCTTACATTTTATGAAGCCATTTAAATTTTATTTTAGCAAGTCACAAGTTCATATATATTTCTAATATTTAAAAAGGCAACATTTTACATCCTTATTTCAGTTTGACCTCTTCCCAAACTGAGATATCTGAAATTACAAGATTTCATTTTTTTTTTTTGAGGCAGCATCTTATTTCAGTCATCTCAACCTTCCCTTAATCTGAAATTCTAAAGAAAATTATCCTAAATCTATACTGTACTTCCATTTTTAATTGGTAAGGTGACATACCCTGGTAGAAGGTAGCACCTGGAGTACATGGCGGGAGGGTGGAGCGCTATCCCCAAGGCAGTGCTGCAGCAGGTGACTTAGATGTACCCAGGGTGTAGGCATCACCCAGTCCCCAAGCCTGTTGAAAAAGACAACAGGTGTAGTAGAGAGGATTGGCAGGTGGAGGTTTATTACAGAATACTGAGCGATAAGCAAGTTATGGTGCAACAGCAGTTTGCTCTCACAGATCTTTCCTTGTCTATCATTTGCCATACTTGATTTCCAGCACCACGCCTCAGCCTAGTTGAACTCCACAATAGAGCCCAAGGGAGAGATGGAGGCTCTGAACCTCCTTGTTCTAATCGAGACTCAAAATTTTTAAGCCAGTTAGATAAGGGGGGGGGGGTGACAAAGTAAAATTCCTCTGCTACTGAGTACCTGCAGCTCATAGAAGTGTAACTTAAAGCTCCAGTAAGGAATTTTTATGGGTGACACAAATTCCCTAACATCCCACAAGTTTCCTGCAGTATCTCCTGGTCTAGGCACCTGAGGACCAGGAAACCCTTACAAATTGTCTTTAAGGACATTCTTCTCAGCGAAGTTAATAACTACAAAAGATCTTAAGCACATGCTCTCCAAAGTATTGCAAGGGTGAATAAGTCTAATCACGTTGATTATTGTTAAGGGCTGGGTGTTTATGTTAACAACAAATTGAAGTTCTCGGTTCATTGTGAGAAGAAAGTGAACCTTGCTGATAAAACTGGAAGGTACTTACGATCCTACACTTACTTAGATGGCCCGTTTACATAAGGCTTTCCAAAGGAGTTTAGTCTCCAAGATAGACTGAGAAAGTCGGGAGGAGGGCCACCAATCTGGTGTCAGCGCTCATACACCTCACCTACCAAGAGACCAGAACACTTAAAGCTGCCTAGTATACTACCTATACTGAAATTTTGAACAAAATCCATTTTTGGCCGAAA